GAGAGGTGACCCCGTTCACAGTTTTCTAGGTATTTTTGAGCTAAAAAATGACCAATAATTTAATAAATGTAAGGTAGAACTGTTTAATGTCGTACTGTGGAATCTTCCAAGCAGAGCAACAGCATCTTCTTAGAAATGACAAGGTGAACCGAAAAGTTACATAGTGCATATGGCTCCCTCTAATCATTTACATCATAGTGGAGTTTGCAGGAAACAGATAAAGGGATGCAACAATCTGATACTGGCATTGAATTTGGCGGCGATATTGAAGAAAAAAAAGCTGGATCAGATATCGGTTTCCAAATATCGGTTCAGCCAATATCCTGTTGGACACAAAAACTGATGTAGTTGGCTCAGAAAGTCTCATAATGTTTGAATTTTTAGTTATACAAAGGTGTTCTGGAGTTGGTTTAGAGATAAATAACAGCTACATAAAACATTTGGCTCAGTTTTGTCTTATTTATATTTTTTATTTTAGTTTTAAGGAAATAAATGCAGTTTTCAGTCTCTGCTATGGTATCAGGAATTGGCTGATCTTTAATGTCATAGTATCGGAATTGGATGGATAGATAGATAGACAGATAGATCAAATAAATAAAGGGAGTATCTATAACAACAAGAAAAAACTGAGCCCAGATTAGTATAAAACTACGTCACACACAGGCCTAATCTCATTGCATCTCCACGACTCCTCCCAAGCCTGTCTGAACCGTCTCCACTTCATATTCCCAGGAACCAAAAAAAAACCTCCAAAATTTGCCAAATCTGACTGAAACCGTCAGATCAAAGCCCCCCGCCGACCACAACATGCACTCAGTCGGAGGCGCGTGGATGGAGCTCTGGAGCACGCAAATATACAGGAGGAGACGGTTAGGGCTACATCGACCACAGCTAAAAGCATCAGGCAGCTCAAAGCAATCTGAGGAACATGAGTGAGCAAACCCGTGCACCGCATAATTAGAACCATGCACAAACAGACACTAAAGGACTTTTACAGGGGCCCCTGATGGGCTTCAGCAGTGACAGTCAGTGTACAGCTTTATGTCTCTGCACTGTGAGCTATTGATATCATTGTGTGTGGTGTTTAGGGATGCACCGATCCAGCTCTGTCACTTCTGATACTGATACTCGATGACTTTAAGTATTTGCCAAAATCTGATATTAATAAGAACAGAAAATGATACTTATTTACTTAAAACACTTTTAACTTAGTACACAAAAGATTCAACTGTGTTGTGCAACTGCTATTTATCCTTCAAATAACTACTGAACTAGCCTGATTTATCAGCCGGTTTCACTTTGTGGAAACTGTCTGACCACGCAACATTAGGATTCGTTCGCTCAACGGTAGGCAGGTACGTTTTTATTTAACCAATCGCTGCTATTTGGTCGTAACTTATGTAATGTGCCGTTAACGGGGCTAACCGGTATATTAAGCTTTTCCCAAATCCATAGGAAGAAGGGCAATAACGTCTTTCCCCTTGATAAAATTCACTAAACATTCTCTTTGTTCCGGCTCGAAATCCTCGATCTCAGGAATCGTCGCCAACACAGAATGTATGACTCTTCTCTGCCTGGACTCGCACTTTCGGGGTTCTTGCAAACCATCTAGTGTATTCCAATTCCTGACCTAATTGTTGGAGAGAAATTAAATTTGAGTGGAGGCACTAGGTGGCGCCAGCCTGGCTACCACAGAACAGCTTCATATGAATAAAAATCCAAACATAAATCAGCCTGTACATAAATAATGATTATGCTCAGTTAAAGGCCCAATGTGGATATCGACGTTGATATTTAATACCAGTATCGGTATCGGTTAGGGATGTAAGGATATCCAAATCTCTCAAGATACGATATTAGCACGATATGCCTCTCATGGTATATAATATAATTATTGCGATATTTTGCAGGGGTTAATAGGATTGTGCATATGCAATTTTTTTCTTTATAAATACCTCGACCAGTCTTCAATGTAAATCATTACTGACATACTAAGACTTAAAAGTGCTTAATAACAGTTATTTTTATTATGTAGTAAAGTATGTAAAGGATCATGGCCTGCGCAGTTCCCTCTTTTTTAATACTTTCAAGTGAAAAACCTTGGAATGCGATATATTGTGATGGACCATGATATTATTGTGAGAGTTCTGACGATAAGATATTACAGTATTTCGGTTACTGTTACATCTCGAGTATTGATGCATCCTTAGTTCTGTTATTATACTGTTTAAGCCAATGTACCATAAATCATATATTGACCCCTCGTGGCTCGGTTTGTTGGCCAGGTGGTGGTTAGGTCACAATCTGCAGGGTAATCAGGCGAGGAAAGTACAATTCCTGGATTTGACACTGAATGTCTCTTTCCGCTCTTCACCCCATTTGATATTGTAGTGGCCTATAAAATATCATACCATATTATTTCAATTAGGCCTGTTATGATAATTACTATATTGACTAAGAGGGGACAGTATATTTTGAGGCTCAGTATTTATTGTGTGTAGATTTTCTTTGGAATAGTGGTGAGATTGTTTGCCATTTGTATGTAATAAGGTAAGATGTGGACTGTAAAGGGTAGAATAAATAATTTATGTGAAATACATCGTGACAGGCCTAATTTCAAAGTGAAACATGCGGTAGTATCCACGTCATGCAAGTTTTAAGGTTCATAAATGGAAAATAATTGTTCAGTTATAAATTCGTCTTCTCCTTCCACAGCGAGAGTGAAATGGGTGAATATTTCTGATGCAAAAATGCTTTGGGGCAAGTATTTTGATCATAAAAATGAAAAAAATGTTTATTTTGAGAATGAAAACCACAGTTTGGATTTGTTGAGTGAATTGTTTTTCAAAAGTGGTTTTGATTTGAAAAATGTGCTAAAGCAATTGACTAAAATTGCAAACAGAATAAAAAAGGAGCAAAAATAATCCCAGAGGTTTGTCTGACAGGATCATTTCCCAAACATTTCTGAGATATTTATCAAACTTAAACCTGCCGCACAAAAGAAAGTCAGTGAGCAGAAGTGTCACTTTAAAGCCTTAAAGAATGACATTGAAAATGAAAGCGGAAATGTCCCGCTCCTGAAACAATGACTTTTTTTTTCTTCAAGTGGTTTAAAAGTGGTCTGTGTGAAAAGTGCCGAGCCAGCAAGATAAAACATGCAGTGAGCTGTGACAAAGAAAGAGGAAACCACGAAATACTGCAACAGAAGGCACAGGAGGGGAAGGCACACGGGATTTGTCATGTACACTTGATGACACAGGTGAAAAAGTCAGATCAGAACTTTACACTAATTAAGTACTTCTACTTCTCCAGTAATCACAGAAGAACAGTGTGCAATAATCAGTGGGGAATGAAATACTTAATTGTGTTACTTAAGTAAAAATACACATACAAGGGCAAAAGATTACTCAAGTAAAAGTAAAAGTATCACATGAAAAAATCTACTGAAATACTTGTTTAAAAATCTACTTTAAGAGCAAAACATAAAACTATTTTGCAGCATTTTTTTTTTGAACAATTAAAGCATCAAATGTAAAGATTATGATAAAGAAGTGGGCCAGATTTTACGTGATTCAAATGATTTCTTATTTTTTTCTAGTTGTTTTTGTGTATTTGGTTTGCTCAAAGTTGAGACGTTTACTCAAATTAAATGTGCTAAAAGTAAGTGTCTGTAATTTCAGAAGGTCTCAAACCACAAAAGGAAAAACTACTTTGTACTTCTTACTCAGATCTAAAATGTAGTGGCGTAAAAAGTACAGATACCTGCTCTCAAATGTTATGAAGTAAAAATAAAAAGTATCCACTGCAAAATGTACTTACCTAAAAATTGCATTAAGTATTATACTTTTACTTTTGTACTTTTCTGCTTCCATCACTGGCAATAATGTGCTACAATACACCTTTGAAACTTTCTGTAATGCTAAAACTAAAAGAAACACTGCAAATATTGATGGGATAGAATAGATTGTCTTTGCAAAATCAACAAACTTCACTATTGAACTTTTATTGTCAGGCCCGACCACAAACCACCACAGTATCTGCTTCCTCTACAACCTCAGGCATATGTCTATGCAAGAACTGAAGGTGTGTGCACGTAATGGGCTCTTCTGCAAATTTAAACCTACGCCAATGTTTGATTCTAAGATATATCTTGTTTTTTTTTTATGTAGGGATTCATATTTCTGCTATTTTTATTATTTTATCAATATTTCAGTCAGTTATTTTTAGTAGTCAGCGATTATTATTTTTTTGTAATGATTATAACCATTCATTGTTTGAGCCCTGTAACATACAAACAAACCTGAAAATTATTATAAAAGTAGAGCTAGAAGCAAAGATCAGATGGCCGATATATCAGGTCAGTGTTTGCATTTTTAACGTATCAGCTGTCGACCTTAAAGTGCGTCTGACAGGTTGGACGGATTTTACTAAACGCAGTGAAGATCTTTTTATATAAGATTGCTGCGAAAACATTCACACCTGATTTTCAAACATGTTTTTCGAGTTTTCTTCCTTCCAATTGCCTCTTGATTTGTGTAAAACTGTAATTTATGTAGTTATAATCCCACCAAATTAAGTCAAATCAGAAAGTCATAAAAATCTGTCATGTGCACTTTAAATCTCCATCACCGGCTCATATTTAGTGTTGGCCAAAGAATACACACAAAGCTTTATTTTAACATTTAACTGCGCAAAACGTGGACATACGGCCGTCTTGAAGGTTTGTGGTAAAAAGGGATTGTAGCTGAATTTGTCGTGAATTGAAATTATGTAATAAAAATAGTAAAATAACACAAATCTGCTTTATGTATCGACCCAAAAAAAAGTCAAAAAATAGATAAAAATAAAAATCTGCCCTAAAAACATTGGCAGAGTTTATCAGAAATGAGTTGCTCTAGATTCTAATCAGTTTGTAGCAGAAATATATGTACATTAAAAAAAAAAACATATCAGTTGATCTCTAATTAAAGAGTGCTTGATTCTGAGTAGTATCTTCTTACCTCTAGCATTCATGAGGTTATCAGCACATAGTGGACACCCTCAGATGTTTGTCTCAGCTCTTGTTAACGCTCCTCCTCGCCACTCCGCAGCTCCGCCCTCCTCTCGCTAAAACCAAAGCTCTGCCCGCGCGTCCGCCGTTATCCCTTCATTTTCTTCACCGGCTGCACGTGTAACTCCAAGGGCTCGGGCTCGGTCAGAAATCTCTCTTCCGTTCACTTTCGTACATCCGCAAAGATACCGTGAACCTCTCTGCTCATCTCATCCGGCGTTCCTCCGACCATTGGCAAAGGCACCTGAAAGAAATTACAGACAAATTACATTAGAGATTCTTCAACGTTTACTGCTTTTCCAATTCAAGACAGATTTCAAAAGGCTAAATATCGCATTTTCGGGAACCAATTTGAACCCAGACGTCTGAATTGAGTTGCTGATCAAAGCTGTGCAATATGCAATAATATTTAGTGCCCTGCAGAGACCAGCGCGGGTCAACTTTGGTAATAGCCCCAATTTTGTTTTATCGCTCAAGCTGTCAGAGGACAACGCTTTCCACATGTGAAGACTGTGTTAGCGGGCCTAATATACACAACACTCCTATACATACAAACCCTGTTATGTAAAGGGTAGGACCTTGTGTGGAAAAATAAATACAAAACTGTTTATTAAGACTATTCTTAAAGGTCCTATATTACGCAAAATTGACTCTTGTGAGTATTAAGACATGTTATAATTCTGTTACTTTGTCAATAACATACCTGAGTCGTGTTTTGTTTCATTCACACACGTTTGAGTAATTCTTTATAATTACCTTCTTTATTGGACTATAAAGTGCACCCTTTAATTTTCTTAAAAATCGACAGTGCGCCTTATAACCCGATGCCACTTATGTATTAATTCTGGTTGTGCTTACTGACCTCAAACTGACTTTATGTGGTACACGGCGCTCAAAAATCTGTCAAAGTGTTTTACTACGACTTTGGTAAACTAAAAAGCTGCAGCGCTTGATGGACTATCAGTCTCGTGTCGTCTGAGTTTTCACGAAGACCGGAATCATCACTGAACAGCGAAGAGACTGACTCGGATAATGATAATCGCCCAATAAAGTTTGACTTATCTGACTGTTTTGTTTTCCTTAATTCGCCTTTTAATCCTGTGCGCCTTACGTAAGAAAACAGATGAGAGAATTCAACGTTATGAATATTGCACCTTTTAATCCGATGCGCCTTATGTATTAATCCTGGTTGTGCTTACTGACCTCAGACTGATTTTATGTGGTACACGGCGCTCAAAAATCTGTCAAAATATTTCAGTATGAATTTGGTAAGATACGAAGCCACACCGCTTCATGGACTCATCCGAGCTTTCACGAAGGCCAGAATCACCACTGAATGACGAGAGGGATGCCGAAATTGCTCAATTAAATAAAGTTTGACTTATCGGCTTTGTTTCGCCAGATACGCCTTATAATCCAGTGCGCCTTATGTAAGAAAACAGATGAGAGCATTCAACGTTAGTGATACTGCATCTTATAATCCGGTGCACCTTACGTATTAATTCTGGTTGTGCTTACTGACCTCGAACTGATTTTATGTGGTACACGGCGCTCAAAAATCTGTCCAAATGTTTTAGTATGATTTCGATAAGCTACGAAGCCGCACCGCTTGAAGGACTATCACTCTCAAGTATCGTCCGAGCTTTCACAAATGCCAGAATCATCACTGAATGACGAGAGGGACGCCGAAAACGCCCAATAAAATAACGTTTGTCTTATCTGACTGTTTTGTTTTGCTTAATACACCTTATAATCCAGTGTGTAAGAAAATAGACGAGTGAGTTCAACACACTGATATTGCGCCTTATAGTCTGTAAAATACGGTAGTCTGTTTAAGTTCAAAATACTCTGGTCCACCTTGTGATGTCATGAAGCATTAGTTTGCAAGTTAACAGCTACAGTTTACCTTTTGTTTAAGTAGAAACTGGCAATTCAATATGTATTATAATGATTCTGTTGAAGTTGTATGTTTAAAAACACAGTGGAGCACTTCCTGTATTACCATGCGACATCACAATGTGGGACAGTGTTTTCTGTTTGAGAAGAACTCAAGTTTAAGAAGAAATGTGCAGGGTTTGTGTGTTAAACGTGTGAATGAAACAAAACACAACTCCAGGTATGATTTTGATGAAGAAACAACAGAACATAGATCATAAAATATTGCGATACAGCCCCTTTAAACTCTTCCTGTTTGAATAGTGATAACTGCTTTATTATAAACATCTCAATCAAAGCTGGTTTTATTCTCTCTGTGGTTCAAACCGCTGGTAATCTCAATGACTTGATTCAGTAATTCCATTCTTACGTATCAGCTCCACCATTGCCTTCGGTTCCCCCTTTTGTTGCCCCAACCACAAACTCACTCCACCCAATGTCTGCGCAGCGCCACCCCCTCGTCCGGCCATCCCTCTCGCCTTCTTCTCCTCTTTCTGCTTATTCCATCCATCTTTGCCCTCTTACCGCAAATCTAAATCTGAGTCTGTATTTAGATGAAGCCAATTTCCTCAGGTCACTTGCACTGGTCTGGGCGTGTGCACAGAGCATGTCTAATAGGTGTCTGTGGACATCATTACTAGAAAAGTAAAAAAAAAAAAAAAAAAAAGTATTCTGTTTAGTTACATCAAATGGTATCAAGGTTATTCGCAGATGTTTGAACTCTTTGACTCGACTTTTCTAAACTTCATATTTGGAATAGTCTCAGTTTGGAGAAACACACAAGCAATGCCGTACTTTGTTTCCACGGTTGCTATGGTAATTGCTAATCTGAGTGCCATGGATGATCTTTTTAAGGATAATATTCCTCGTTATGATACGCAACAAGAGGTGTATTCTGGCGTTTTAATGTTCCAAACTAGTCCTTCCGTAGCACCACATTTTTAACTAGAAGTACCTCCCGATAAACTCGTCTCTTTCCTTAGAATTTTTTTATGTGTTTTTTACAAATGCAGGTTTGTTTTACCTGAAAATGTGAAACACTTGGAGCATTTTATCCTATTCCCAAGAATCCAACTAACTAAAAACTAACTATAAATAGTCTGTGTAATTCCCAGTAGTATGATTAAAGGTCCTGTGTTACACAAAATTGACTCTTGTGAGCTTTTAACCATCTTATAATGTTGTTACCTCCTCAAAAACAAACCTGGAGTTGTGTTTTGTTTCATTCACACATGTTTGAGTAAACCTTTATTCTTAGTTTGCCTACATGTCCTAAGCTCAAATTGTTTTCTTCCACTTTGTGATGTAATGAAGCGTAGTTTTCAAGTTAACTGCTGCTTTTTTTTTTTTTACTTTAGTTTACTAGAGATTGGCAATTCCAGGGCTGAAATGATCCAAAAGAAGAGTGTGTGGAGTTTAAAAACGCAGTGGAGCACTTCCTGTATTACCACATGACATCACAAGGTGGAACAACAACAACAAAAAAACTTGAAAAAGAAACAAAACACAACTCCAGGTATGTTTGTGACGAGGAAACAACATTATAAGATGGTTAAAATCTCACAAGAGTCAATTTTGGGTAATACAGGACCTTTGACCATCCTACTCTGAATTACATCAACTATTTAGAGAAAATCTGAAAATAGAGTAATATGGGTCCTTTAATAGTAGTAATAGTTGTACATTTGTAATATATAATTGAAGTGGAGGAGTATGAAGGAGGATGATGTTTTCTCTGGCATCTCTAAACCCAAAACCGGGAAAGCTGAGACAAAAATAAAACCAACCAGATTAGTTAAAACTCAATGTGTACGATTTGCAGTGGTGGATGAAGTACTCAGTTTTGTTACTTAAGTAAAAGTAAAGATACAGAGACAAAAAGTTACTCAAGTAAAAGTATTAAATGAAAAAATCTACTTAAAGCATTAAAGTGTCTGTGAGTAAAAAGGAAAAGTATTTTGCAGAGATTATTAGAACAATTAAATGATTTTGATAAAGAATTTTGCTGATTTTAAGTGATTCAGTTGATTTCTTAATTTTTTTAGCTGTTTTTGTTCAGACAGACACTCAAATTTAATGTGCTAAAACGAAGTCTCTCATTTCAGCAGGTCACAAACGAAAAGAAAAACACTTTTTACTTTTTAGTCCAGATCTAAAATGTAGTGGAGTAGAAAGTACAGAAACATGCTCTCAAATGTAGTGAAGTAAAAGTAAAAAGTTTACAGTCACTGTAAAATGTGCTTAAGGAAAGTACAGATACCTCAAATTTGTACTTAAGTCTTGTGCTTTTACTTTTGTACTTTGTAACCTTCCACTACTGACGATTTGGGATTAAAGAGGTGCATTTGTCCCAGGATAACTTCCTTGAATCCAACTGACACACTGTTACGCAGCGTCTATTTAAGGCTCATATCTCCACACAGAGCAAGAGGGAAGCCATTATTTTCCCCCGGGCCATAAAATCTACACAGTCAAATTACCAGACTCACACTTGCACCTAGTTGCTGTAAGATTGATCGCACAATAAAACGCTGTCATAGAAGCTGACAAAGCTGAACAAAGAAACGGCAAAAACTGGAAGCTGGTTTGTTCATTAGCGAAAGAGAGTTTCTTTTTAAAAACTAAACTGACTCAGTAACGGCTCCGATGATTCAATGACTTAAAGGTGCACTGTGAAACTTTTTGGTTAGGGGTCTGTCACCTGCTTGTTTCTATGGATACGTCATTGCTCATTGCTTAGAATGTTCCACAGTGTGACATTAAACAGCTCTACCTTACATTTCTTCAATTACAAGTGGTTTTATGGCTCAAAAACACTGTGAGTGGGGTCGCCTCTCCACAGATCTGACCTGTAACTTGGTCTTGGTCTAGTTTAATCTCCATGAAGATAAAAAGGTGTAATGCCATACTGTGCAACATTCCAGACAAAGTAATAACATCTACACAAAGAAAAGCATTTGACAAACCCTCCACCAGAAAAGTTACACAATGCACCTTTAAACAGTGTCTTTAGTGATTCTCAAACGGTAGAAAGAAAAATATTGCATAAACTTACATGGTGCTTTGAAATATTTTGTGATTCTTAGGTACTAATTTGAGTCTGATTCAAAATTCTGTCTGAAATTATGCCAAAATTTCTGTTTTGATTTTGGTACTAACACAAAGGCTCAGAACTCATTTTGATTGCACTTTTTTTTATTTTTAAGTTTTATTTTTAGACAGTATCATAATTTTATCAAAAATAATACTCATTTATTTCAAATTAAAGGTGCATTGCGTAACTTTTCTAGTGGACGGTCTGTAATTGTA